AAGCAATGAGTGACAGGAGAAAAAGGAAAGGGAACAAAAATCTTTATATATCATAATTTTACTATTTAGACAATGAAATGATATTAGTACGATTAAACTCTACAGATTATTGTTATTAGATGGATAATGCTGAGTGTGTGCCCTCAAATATGGAATGAATGTCCCAGTGATCTTGAGCAAATTTGAAGGCAAACCTTTGTGTTCTATTCCGCCCCCCCCCCCCCACACCCCCCACACACACACACCACCACTTCAATGCAAGGCGCTCTTGCCATTTCTCTTAAAAAAAATTGAAACCCAGATTCAACGTTCAAATATGAACCCCCAGATCCATGTGGGATTTGGAATTCATAATAAAAAAGAAAAAAGAACAAAACTCAGACTTCTAGAATCAAATATGTGCCCAAGTAGTTATCAGATCCAAGTGGATTTGAAATCAAGCTAGAAAGAAAACCAAAAACACATCCCTATCGGCTATACCAGCAGCCTTGCTCTTGGGCGCACCAGCATCACAACACTGCCATATCAGGAGTCACCACTACTTCCTTTGATCCCTTCTATCCCGTTTTGCTAGCCATGACAATAGATATATACTGAAACAATTAAAGCCATATAAGCATTTTATCCCATATAACCTGAAACAATTAAAGCCATATAAGCTGTATGGTAACCATTTTAACTCTCATGTGTATTCTTGTTGCATAAGAGTGATGCGACATAAATTATGCAAATGTCACATTATTAGGATGCCCAAACATCACTTGGCTCAGAGCTGCATGTACAGCTACAATTCAACCTGGAAAACAACCACAAGACCCCAACCCATAGCTGATATTTGTAGTGGCCACTAAATTTGCAGCTCGAACACAACAACAGTTTGGTTCTCGAAGTGTCAAACAGACAATGGCATTCTGGATGCACTCAGAATCCAATAACAGCAGTTGATGAAAATGTCCTGGAATGCTTTGATTCTTTGTCATTGGGACAGAGACATCAAAAACAGAACGGTACTGATGGTGATGGATGTAGGCACAAAAGCGCATGTAATTAAACCAGTTAGCTGATAGGAGTGCATCAAGAGGAAGAACCAACATCACTAGAACTATAACAATCACAGCTGAAGGTTGGGCAGGATGCACATTTCATGCTTGCCAGCTAGTCCTTTTGAGTTAGGTTGCCATTAATATATTGGAAATGGAACAGAAAGATAAGCAAACGACAAGCATTCGGAATAGCAACAAGCTAATTCAGTTAGCACACTTATGGTCTCTGGAACATCAAAAAATTCTAAAGGTCAAGCAATTTGACGGCTCCGTTCGCTTCGCTGAAAAAACAAGCCAAAACACTATTCCGGCTGATTTGTTGTGAGAGAAAAACATTGTTCCAGCTGAAAAAACAAGCTGAAAAGTACGAATTATAAGAGAAACGAACAGGGCCTTGTGTTAAAACAAAAGGAAAAAGTCTACATAACCCCCTGACCTATGTCTCTGTGTCTATTTCACCCCTGAACTATGAAACCATGTATTTAGCCCCCTAAACTTTTCCAAACCAGACATTTAACCCCTTGCAGTTGTTTTGGCTCCTTGATTTGATGACGTGGCTCCTGGATTTGCCAACATAGCAGTCCAAGATAGCTCACATAGACATATTGGCGCTCTGGCCCACACATCATAGATAAGGGAGACCGAGCACGGGGCACACCCTCCTATCGGCGCCGAACGGCAGTAGCTCGAAGCGCTGCCCGCTGAAGTCGACAGCGGCGGCGCTGCTACCTAGGAATCTCTCCGGCACGAACTCTAGGACACGCTCTCCCACGTCGCGGGGTCCCGGCCGATGGCCCAGGCGTCGTGCGCGCCGGGACATGGTACCCTAGGATCTCTGCGTTTGCAAGGGGCTCCCGGGGCACAAGCAGCAGCACCGGCGCGTGCAGCCGGAGCGTCTCCTTCACCACGGCCTTCAGGCAGTCCAGCTAGGCGACACATTGACGCCGCCGCCGCCACGGGTTGAGCCGCCGGCCGCCGTGCGGACCTCGTCCAGGGTTCTGCGTATTGCACGGGTGGGTGACGAGCTCCGCCATGGCCCATTCCATCCACGCGGTTGTGGTGTCCGTGCCTCCCGCGAACATCTCCTGCCGAGTGCCCACGACACCGCCAGTGCATGACGAAAGAGATCGATTCTACTACTACATATGCATGTATATATAGATAAAACTAAAATAGCATCTTTTTTGGAGGAATAAAATTGAACACCTTCCTCAAACGTCCGCCTGATCTATAGATGGCCATTCGGGCCGCCCGGCCCGGCCCGGCACGGGCCGGAGGTCATCGGGCCGGCACGGCCCGTTAGGTGCATCGGGCCGTGCCGTGACGGCCCGACTGGCACAGGAGCAGAGCCGTGCTCAGATTGCGGCGCCGCCGCCGGCGGCTCGTCTACGCCAACCTCGATCGAAGTGGCTTACCTGCTCAACCGGAGCACCGAAGTTGCCGTTGAAGACCGAGATCCACAGATCTACGAGAAGAGGATGGAGAGACTAGGTTTTGGGGGACGGATCTGACGAAGAGAAGGATGGTGGAGGGAGCGAGCCGGGGAAGAGACGGTCAGAGGGGAGAGAAGAGGCTATAGATGGCCAAAACAGGACCGGATCCGGCGAGCGGTGACCGGAGATGAAGACGAAGATGGAGGAAGCAGGAAGGATGCGCGGAGCAGACAAGCGAGAGGAGTCGTCGATGCGCCTTCGATGGCCGCAGTCGTAGATCCGGCAAGGAAGCAACCTCAAACGAGCCGAGAGAAGCTCGCCGGCGCCCGGTGATGGTTGGAGGCGAGCGAGGCGACGGCCGGCGGAGTCTTTGGAAATGAGGATTAGGGTTTGGGATGGAGAGAGCCGGGGAGAGGGGAGCGTTATATTCGCCGGTTGCCAAACGGGCCAGGTCGGGCCCCTTGTGCCGACCGCTGTGTTGGGCCGGGTCGGGCCGGCACACCGTGCCGAAAGTGAGGGCCAGACATGGCCCGAGGGTCGGGCCGGGCCAGCCCGGGCCCGCCAGCCACCGGGCCGTTCCGTGCCTAGGCCGGGCTAAAACATCGGGCCGTGGGCTGGGCCAATGGGCCTCGGTCCATATGGCCAAGTATAGCCTGATCTTCCATCTCCAGCCCGGTGATGGCATCCACCATCCCAGCCACGGTAGCAGCTCCCCGACTGGCGCTGTCCCGATGAGCTTCTGGCAGTCAGTGAACACCTTCCTCTGCCAACAGCTAGAGTCGCTGTCGTCGATGTCGAACAGCACACGCGCTCTCATCGCCGAGAGCAACGCGCGACACGATGATGTTGGCGTACTTGGTGAGGAGCTCGCTGAGGTCGATGGCCGTACTACTGGCCTGAGCGACACGGCTGGATGGCCGGTCAACGTGGCAGCCTCCTGACCCCGGACACGCTGGAACAACCTGAAACGGCCCACACTAAGCAGGTGGATGAAGCACACGCGCCGCGGCTGGCGCCAGTACTCGCCATAGGGCATGAACGCTACGTCGCGGCCATAGAGGAGGCGCTCGGCCATGGCATGCTCGAGGTAGGCTCATGAACGCGGTCACGTGCTCGCATCACCTCCTCGGCGACGGCCGTGGGCGCGGAGGACATGACCACGGTGGGCATGTGGCCATGGCGCCTTGGACCGCATCGAGATGGTCTTTGGAGGAGGCAGGGCTTGGGAGTCGGGAGTGCTTGTGTGCTCGGGGCGGACGGAGCAGGGGCAGCGGCCATGGTGGCCAGGGGATGGGCACCGCGCCATCTCCCGCACCGCACGCCGCTCCATTGAGGCGTGGGAGGGCTATGGCGGCGCAAGGGATGGGAGGGCCTGTGTCGGCACGAGGCACTGCGTGCATCGTGGGAGGAGCAGCAGCGTCGCTGGAGGGCAGCAGCTGCGTGCGTTGGAGGAGCGGCAGCGGCGGCGCAGTGCGGGGAGCTGTTGCTGTGCAGACCGTGAGGCTCAGGATGAGAGAAGACCTGTCCACTTTCAAGTGGGGCCCACTTGTCAGTTGTCCATGTCAGCATCAAATTCCACCTCAGCGCGCCAACGTGGCAAACCCGTTATGCTAAACCACCCTAGAGGGTTATTTGAACGGTTTTGCAAAGGTGAGGGGGTTAAATACCTAATTTTGTAGGTTGAGGGTAAAGTAGTCGAGCAACAATAGGTGAGAACGTTATGAAGACTTTTTCCAAAACAAAAACACTTTTGCCTTGCTCCACAGCTGCTCCCAGGCGTTCAGTTCTGTCCGCCTGGAGACGGGATGCATGCCTGGCCGGCTCTCTGCCTGGGAGGCAGCAAGCAAACAGGCCCAAAGCAGTGGCCATAGCATACAAGCTTCTTAGTTCTTAAACATACTCAAGTTTTCATAATACAAATGCTGCCCATAATTACTTCTAGTCTTTACAAAGCAGTACAGCTGCAAGAGATAGGAAGAACTTACAAATCTACCAGTGCAAAAGAAATGACAGGCAGGCAGTGACCATCTCCAGAAATTTCACATTTAAAAGTATATAATTACCAAATTTCACAGAAGAAATGCCACACAGGCAGTGACCATCTCCAGAAATTTCACATTTGAAAGTATATAATTACCAAAATTTCACAGAAGAAATACCACAAGACAGTGACCATCTCTAGAAATTTCACATTTGAAAGTATTACCTAAGTTTCACAGTCCAAGGCAACAAATATATGATTTGCATGCAAAAAAAGTCATGTTCTTCTACAAATAGCAATGTAAAAATCATAGAGCTCTATTGAACTGAGCTAATAGAAAAGAAACTATTGGTCATTCCAGATCCATTAGAGAGCAGTATGTCAAAAGCACAATCAACTACATACTAAACCATTCATTTCCAACTCCATTGAACAGGGGCAATGATAATAATGCTGCTACCAGATAAATTAACACAGCACCCAACTAGTACTACCACCACCAGACAACCGACAACCGTACAAACAAGAGGGGAGGCGACCTAGCTAAGACGAGGTGAACTTGGTGACAGCCTTTGTGCCCTCAGAGATGGCGTGCTTGGCGAGCTCCCTGGGGAGGACGAGGCGGACGGAGGTCTGGATCTCGCGGGAGGTGATGGTGGACTTCTTGTTGTAGCGGGTGAGCTTGGCGGCCTCGGCGGCGAGCTTCTCGAAGATGTCGTTGATGAAGGAGTTCATGATGGACATGGCCTTGGAGGAGATGTCGATGTTCGGGTGCACCTACTTGAGCACCTTGAAGATGTAGATCTTGTAAGTCTCCACGCTCTTCTTGGCCTTCTTCTTGCCATTCTTGCCCTCACCGTCCTTTGCCGGCGTTGGACTTGCCCGAGGGGAGGCGCTTCTCCACCTTTGGCTTCTTCCCCGCCGGGGCCTTTGAAAGGGGACCGTGATGCCTAAGAGGGGGGATGAATTAGACAACTTAAAACTCTAACTCTAAACTATGGCCTCTTTTTCTACCCTTAGCAAAACATATGCAAAAAGATAAACTATCCAAATGTGCAACTACGGTTTTGCTAGTGTGTTGCTATCTCTACCGCAAAAGCAGTTATACAAACAATATAAATACGGAAGCTAAAGAGTAAAGTAGAGATATGTAAACTCCCATCGACGACTCCGGTATTTTTACCGAGGTATCGAGAAGCGCGCAAACTTCCCCCAAGTCCTCGTTGGAACCCCTCGTAAGGGCCAAGCTCCCGATCAGGTAACTCCATGGATAGCACCGGGCCTTCCCCACGCGCAAGTGGGTCTCCGGTGTGCCTTTCGACAAGCCTCTCCCAGACCGCTCCCCGCCGTCTTCACTATCAAGCTTCCGGCCGAACCGTCGCGGGCCTTGTTCCCTTTGGTACACGGTGGCGGCCACACCACAAACACGGTTGATGTGATCTCGCAAGACTACAAGCCCCTTCGATGTACAACAATGGTGCACGCAAGCACTGAGTGGTAAGAGGTATGCAAACCTCACTAAACACTAGGCCTAAACCTAGAGCAAGCGCATAAGCAGTGGTCTAATCAACCTAAGCACTTCGCAAAGCACCTATGCTAATCACCTAATGAATCACTAAGCACTATGCAAGTGGAGATCACTAAAATGGTCTATCAACCCCCTTGGTATGTTTCCTCAGCTCCACTCTTCTCAAATGGCCGGTTGAGGGGTCTATTTATAAGCCCCACTGAGAAAGTAGTCGTTGGGGATGAAATCCCGCTTTTCTGCTACTGACCGGACGCTGCTGTCGTCCTGACCGGATGCGTCCGGTCGTCCCGCAAAAGCAGTTATGCAAACAATGTAAATGCGGAAGGTAAAGAGTAAAGTAGAGATATGTAAACTCCCATCGATGACACCGGTATTTTTACCGAGGTATCGAGAAGCGCGCAAACTTTCCCCTAGTCCTCGTTGGAACCCCTCGCAAGGGCCAAGCTTCCGGTCAGGTTACTCCATGGATAGCACCGGGCCTTCCCCACGCCAAAGTGGGTCTCTGGTGTGCCTTCCGACAAGCCTCTCCCGGACCGCTCCCCGCTGTCTTCACTATCAAGCTTCTGGCCGAACCGCCGCGGGCCTTGTTCCCTTCGATACACGGTGGCGGCCACACCACAAACACGGTTGATGTGATCTTGCAAGACCATAAGCCCCTTCAATGTACAACAATGGTGCATGCAAGCACCGAGTGGTAAGAGGTATGCAAACCTCACTAAACACTAGGCCTAAACCTAGAGCAAGCGCATAAGCAGTGGTCTAATCAACCTAAGCACTTCGCAAAGCACCTACGCTAATCACCTAATGAATCACTAAGCACTATGCAAGTGGAGATCACTAAAATGGTGTATCAACCCCCTTGGTATGTTTCCTCAGCTCCACTCTTCTCAAATGGCCGGTTGAGGGGTCTATTTATAAGCCCCATTGAGAAAGTAGTCGTTGGGGATGAAATCCCGCTTTTCTGCTACTGACCGGACGCGTCCGGTCGTCCCGACCGTTAGAGCGCGCGATCAACTAATCGGACGCTAATGGCGTCCGGTCACATGCCACCTGATGCATTCGGTCGCAACTTCGCCGCTCTAGAACCTCTCTGTACTCGATCGGACGCTGCAATTCCTATGTCCGGTCAATTAGCCGCCAGCGTCCGGTCAATGCTGAGTGTGTTGCCGAGATGATGAACAGTGCCATCGGTGCGTCCGATCACTTTCAGTCCTCACCGTTCGGTCGCTGATGCTGACGCCTGCTGTTGTCGAGCAACTGATCGGACGTGTCCGTTCCCTATAAGGGCTATGCCCGATGCTGTGTCCGGTCACCTCTGTGAAGCTCGTTTCTTCACGATCTTATGTCTAGCTTGGTTCCAATCTTCGTGCTTGGACTTTGCTTGATATCTTGGGTCTTCTCTTGTGCTTCTAGGGTCTTGCTTAAGGTTGTAAGGTCCTAATGGCTAGAGGGGTGAATAGCCTATAAAAATTTCTACAACAACACTTAATAAACCGATTAGACAAATATGAGGCGAAGCGAGTGTTGCGCTAGCCTACTAAAAATGCAAGACACCTACCACAATTCTAGTTTATATAGTCTCTATCCACAAATGGCTATGTCACTACACTAAGTTAGTGTGCTCTCAAAGGCTAACTAAAGAGCCACACTAACCAAACTAACAAGCTCTCACGACTAGCTACACTAAAGAGATTGACAACTAGTTTGTGGTAATATAAAGAGAAAGAGCAAGATGGTTATACCATCGAGATGAGGAATGAACCAATCAATCTCAAGAATGAATACCAATGAAGATCAATCACCTCAGAATCAAATGATGACATAATGATTTTTACCGAGGTTCACTTGCTTGTTGGCAAGCTAGTCCTCATTGTGGTGATACACTCACTTGGAGGTTCATGCGCTAATTGGCATCACACACCAAACCCTCAATAGGGTGCCACACAACCAACACAAGATGAGGATCACACAAGCCACAAGCAATTTACTAGAGTACCTTTTGGCTCTCCGCCGAGGAAAGGTCAAGAACCCCTCACAATCACCACGATCGGAGCCAGAGACAATCACCAACCTTCGCTCGATGATCCTCGCTGCTCTAAGCCATCTAGGTGGCGGCACCCACCAAGAGTAACAAGCGAATCCCGCAGCGAAACACGGACACCAAGTGCCTCTAGATGCAAACACTCAAGCAATGCACTTGGATTCACTCCCAATCTCACAAAAATGATGAATCAATGATGGAGATGAGTGGGAGGGCTTTGGCTAAGCTCACAAGGTTGCTATGTCAATGCAAATGGTCAAGAGAGTGAGCTAGAGCTGGCTATGAGGCTTAAATAGAAGCCCCCACGAAATAGAGTCATTGGCTCCTCAGTCCACTGAAAATCAAGGCGACCAGACACGCCGGTCAGATCGACAGGACGTAGGACCCCGGCGTCTGATCGCCCGATGCTTGCCATGTGTCATCGGCTTCAAATGCTGATCGCCCGATCTCAATAGTCATCAGTGCACTTTAGTTCTGACCAGGCGCTCTATAGTGTAGGACCGGACACAAGACTCCAGCGTCCGGTCACTTCCACTAAGCTTCCATTCGTGATCAGACGTGTTAGTTTGATCACGACCGAACGCAGGATCCCAGCATCCGGTCACTTCCAGTAAGGTTCCAGAGGTGGAAATTTGAGACCGGACGTGTCCGGTCGGTCACGATCGGACGTAGCATCAGCGTCCAGTCCTTTCTCCTCTTCTCTGTGCTGCCACATTAGTGGGACCAGACGCACCCACTATGTGTCCAGTCACTAGGTGACCTAGTGTCCGATCAAAGACCGACGCCAGCGCCTTCCATGCTTCCACTGACTAGACATGCCGATCTAGTTGAGGCCAGCATCTGGTGCACTCTGTGAAACCCTATCTTTTTTGTATAGGGCACCGGTGGCACCGTCGGACTGTCCACACTCTACGGGTGAACACTCTACCGGTGAAGTTTCGAATCCTTGCTCCCAAGTGCTAAACACAATGTGTATCACCTTTGTGCATGTGTGTTAGCATATTTTCACAAACATTTTCATGGGTCTTAGCACTCCACTAGATTCTAAATGCATGTGCAATGAGTTAGAGCATCTAGTGGAACTTTGATAACCGCATTTTGATATGAATTTAACCCCTCTTAATAGTATGGCTATCGAACCTAAATGTGATCACACTCGCTAAGTGTCTTGATCACCAAAAGGAAATGGCGCCTACCACTTATACCTTTGCCTTGAGCCTTTTGTTTTTCTCTTTCTTCTTTTCAAGTCTAAGCACTTGATCATCACCATGGCATCACCATCATGATGTCATGATCTTCATTTGCTTCACCACTTGGAATGTGCTACCTATCTCATGATCACTTTGATAAACTAGGTTAACACTTAGGGTTTCATCAATTCACCAAAACTGATGAGGACATGACACCCATGCATACAACCATGTTTGGCGCATGGTATGGAGGGGTAGGAGGCCAGCAAGGGTGTCCAAGTCAAGAAGGAGGCCCGAGGCTAATTTGGTTCGAGTCCCCGAGGTGGAGGCCCAAAGCAACTCAAGATTGAGCCTGTCTAGGAGTCCAGTAGCAGCACGTACTAAAAACGATGCCCAGGTCGCATACGGTGTCTGTTTTGGGTGTTCTTTATATGGATGGAAAGATAATTTCATGGAGCTTCCAATGGCACCAGTCCCACCTTAAAATTCAATCAGAGTCAATGGAAATCGTCGAAAAAAGTGGACGCCCAGGATCTGTCAGGGTGCTGCTCCACCGTCTTTTGGGCCGTTGGCCCGTGTATCATGTTGGAGCCCATAGGGGCGTGTCCAGGTGGGGTCTCCACAAACCCTCATATATTCAGTAGCCATCGCCACATTAGGGTTGGGTTTTGCTTAGATTAATCTATCAAGAACAGTTTTGCCGTACATCGGTTTGTGAGACCCCAACTTCGTGAGATTAATCATTCATCTGCAATTTGGTTGTTTTCTTTCTTGTTCTTGCTTGTGTTCTTCATTGCACATGTTGGGATTAGCCTTCTTGGCAAGCTCAACCGAATCCGTGTCTTGGTTGATAACCAGAGGAGTTGTGGTGCTAAGATTGCAGGGTTCGATCTTTCGATCTAAAGCCAGATCGGTGTGTCATTCTTCGCCACAACGATAGTTACCTCTACCTGACAGAAGATCAGGATCCCCCGTCCCCTTTAAG